CTGAGAAACAATGTCCTCTAAGGAATCATTCTGTGAAAATCCCATGCATTTTGAGAACTCACTGTCTACAACAATGACACTGTTTCTGCAAGTAAGTGTATCTTGTTTGGCAACAGCGTTACTCAGGTTGAATTGGAAGTTACTCTATCACAATCTCTGATCAAACACTCCAATGGTAGGAAACCCAGCTGATGACATAATTACAACTGTCATTTCTGTGTTTCATTGGAGAATAAGAAAGTGCCTTATTCTATTTCAGATTATTTGTATCCAACCAGTGCTATCTGCTCTGACAGGGAACAGCTCTCCTGGGTATCAGATGTTGATCATTTCCATTACTTGTGGTGCTACTATTTGTGATCCCAGATATCACACCCGGGAATAACCTGTAGACTGCTAAACTGTCCTGCTGGTCCTACTGAAGGGGTAGTTTAAGTCTAACTGCCATGCATGCAGATTGTTGTTTTCAGTGGGGTGTAGCTGTGAGTCTTCTGAATCGTTCCCCTACTCCAGTGTGGCAATAAGGGCTATGTTGTTGGTGTTGTTCTTTTAAGAACATTGATTCAACTAGCAGCTTTTACAGACTTAATTTCTGAATTGAATGGGACTGAAAAGAGAAGGCAGTAGGCTAGTGGAAAAGCCCCAGCAGAGGTGAGAAAGGGAGAAAGGGTTTATAGATGGTCCAAAGAGAAGCAGGACTTGGGTTCATATTCCAGCTCAGCTATTAAGCTTGCTTGGGCCAGTCACACTTCCTCAGTGTATCCTACATCACAGGGTCATTATGCAGATAAAATATGGCTTGCCCTTTTGAGTTCTTTAGAAGACTGGCATGATTTTTTTAAATGTAATGATAAATTGTATCAGATAGTTTCCCTAAAGTGCCCTCCTTTCATTAAAGGAAGAGGAAGAGACAGAACATTTACCTGAGATCGTGCCAGACATCAGCAACTCCTGTCAATTCAAGTCAGGTTATAAAATTTTCAGATAGTTGACCTAGTAAAAGCCATTTTAAAATCTACCCCACATTGTTTGAAGCAATGAATGAAATTACATCAACATTATTCCAGTCTCCAACAAGTGCTTTATTAACAAGAGACTTTGATTTTTGACATTCAAAACTAACACCAAATCACTATCTGTGGCTGGGTATATGATGAATAGCATTCAGATGCTGCAATAATGGAAAAAGTAAAACTATCGTGTAAAACTGGATATAATATTGTTGCAGGTTTGTAGGGATCTTATGATGGAATATTGCTAGATACCTTGCTTGTAAAACATAAGCAGGAAGCTGGTGACTTTTGATAAGTTGTTGTGTCAATCTACTCCCATGGGGCAAACAGCCTTGAGCGATTTTCAAGACCAGGATACATAACTATGCATCTACAAAGAAGGTAACTGTTCTCTTTGAGCAGTGGTCCTTGTGGGAAGCCTCTGTTGGCAAAAGTGAAGGTTGCTGGTGAATAAGAAATGAGCAAGTACAGTCAGTGGGCTCAGCCCCAAAATGCTTGAGGCTGTGTGTCAGTACAACTGCTTTATTGCACAGGAAATAGTGTCCAATGTTGTTGCGTTTGTGGAAATCCAATAAGCATTGCAACCTTTATCATACAATGACTCCAATCATTGTAAAGTTACTTATAAGGAGCAGCTCTGGGCAATCCTTATATGAATCAAAAGATACACAGCAACAGTCTTATGAGTATTTTTATTGCATAAGCCCTACTGAGTTGTACAGGTTATGGTGGGCAGATACAAAAGACAAAGCTCTTGCACTCCCATAATAGTGTAGAAAAGGGGATTTCAGTGTGTAACTTGCATAGCAAGAATCTCTCCTTTTTCTATAGAACTATTAAAAAAGTAGTTGTGCCTCCCTTTGCATTGACCAAACCTACGATCAGCAGTGGAAGCCCTTCTCACTTATCCACCTCTGAGACAGTTAATCATGTACATGAGGGAGGGCCTTTTCCATAGTGGCCCCAGACCCCTGGAAAGGCTTACCATTGGGGGTCCTTCAGACCCCATCATTGCAAGATGTTTAGGAAGGCCCTGAAGACTCTATCATCTTTTAGCTGTATTTTCATTCTATGGTTTTTGTTGTTGTTGTAACCCTCCTTGAGAAGATGCCTACCTGGGAAGGTGGCCTAGAAATATGTTCAGTAAACAAATATGTGAGTAAACATGCACAGGAGCAGGATTCATGGCTCCAGAAGAAACTCCCAACATAATTTGAATGGTTTTCCAAATAGATGAATATCTGCCCTTTCGAATGGGAGTGACTGAATGAAAGTCATACGATCCTCTGCATGTCTCAGAATAGCTTCTGAATTCAAAGACAGGCATGGGTGCACAACAGCCAATAACCTTCCTCCATTAGAAGCCTACAGAGTGGCTCGTCGTCTTTACTGTTTTACCTTTCTTATTACCCTGCTTCTCTTTCTATGCCAGTCAGTGGCGGCCAGCAGCAGAAGCCTGCTTGCTCACTGGTTCTTTGCCTGTCAAGCAAGCAAGTTTTAGCAGCAAGGAGTAGGACAGTGGGGAGAGACAGCTGTGGGTGACAAAGGCAGTGAATGGGTAGACTCACTTAGGGAGGCCCTTTAATGATGTCTTGCCCCATCCTGCAGCACTGACGGGACTTACTGCCAGGTAACTTGTGTTTAGCACTGAAACCAAGATCCAGGCTTTTACACTAGCCTTGCTTTTCTATTGTAAAATGTGCAATACTATATTCTACAACCAGGGTGCAACATGAGGAACCAAATCTCTCACATGAATGCAGCGTCTGTGAATGCAACGAAAAGATAGCAGGAATGGATAGACAGATGTCTGGTTCTAGTGTCCAAGCCACTGTGACCGACTTGTGGAAGCACTGATCTTGATTGTCTTCTGTTACACTCTGGAACATTAATGCACTGAAAGACATGAGAAGGGCGTGATCTTTATTCAGTGAACTCCCATGCTAAAACACAGGGCTGGCCAACAGTTTATATACTTTTCCTTGTCCTTTTCTTGCTGTTTTCTGATGCTTCCAGGCATGCAGCAGCAATCACCCTATCTGCAGCTATTAGGCTCCTCTTCTCCTTGCACTGTTTCAATCTCAGCTGGCCATTATGTGCACTTTGTTACTAAGAACTAGCTCAAGAGTCTGCTTTTTTCCCTCCTTCCAATCCCTTTTCTTTTTGTATCGTGCCTTTTAGACTGCAAGCCCATGTGCAAGGACTCTTCTGTTATTGATTTTTAAGCCTCCCTGAAAGCCTTTCAAGCTGCAGAGTGGGGTAAAATGCCTTGAATAAACAACTCTGTGGTGACTGCTGGGTAAGACATACACCCTGTTAAAATAGGACTTATTCCCAGGTGAGTGTGAATACAATTGCAGTCTAAGTGACAGCAAAAAAAGAAATCCTATCCATGGTGTTAAGTGCAGCTATATAGGGAGGGAGGGAGGGATATTCGGACCACAGGGTGTGCAACTTAACCTGTGTGATAGCTGTCTGTTTTATAAGGGTTGTTGAGGATTGCATCGTGGTATACACACCTTTTAGAAGTTTTGTGTGTGTTTATGTCTCTAAAATTACTCTCGATGCATGCTTATGTCTCTTTGTCTGGGGATGCACAAACTAGCAAGCCATCTTTCTTTAGCCTGACACAAGTCTTCCCAAAACTGGGTCCTATTGAGTTTAATGGGGCTTACTCTCAGGAAAGTTGGTATAAATGTTTGCAGCTCTAAATAAATTGGGGACAAAAATATGAAATTAAAGCACAGCACAGAGCAAGGACTAAACACAGCAACATCTAATTTGTTGTCTGAAGATGCAGATTGTGGCACTTCTACTAGGCTTTAACTACACTGTTGACCTGCCTCTTCAAAGAATTTCCCAAGGGACTGCACTTTATTGCTTCCAGACAAAGGCCTTGTGGTGCTAACACTCAACAGGTATTGTGCAGCTATTCTGCCTCTTTTCCCTTAGCATTTTTCTCTGTAGGCATAAAAAAGGCAGAAGGAACAACACTGAAATAAATGAAAAACCTCATCTTCTAGACCAGACCTGGGCATTGTATGGCCCACAGGCCACATCCGGTCTGATGGCTGACCCTGACTGGCCCGCATGAGGTCACTGGCAAATTAAAAGTCAGTGCAAATATATATCTTCGTAATACAGATGCAAGCAATACAACTGCACTGCTTTTATTTTGAAGGATCTGCTAAACTGAATTGAATTTATTGCTTTTCATGTAATGTTAATGTTTTTGTGAATATTCATTAAATAGTGCTGTTCTGTGCTCCACATTTCCATTGTATCATTGTAATGTTTCATTTACTCTTTTTATAGAGATATATATTGAGCAGAGCTGTAAGTGTGTTGGTCCGGCCTTTAACAACTGTCAAAGTTTCTCATGTGGCCCCATAGGAAAATTAATTGCCCACCCCTGCTCTAGACCTTATAAGACTCCGTGAAGGAAGCAGGGTGATTGCACAATAAAAGCCTCATCTGGAAGCAGTTCCCGTTCATAACGCTCCTTCGTTTCCCACCAATTCTTCCAGCCGTGTTTCCTTATTTCCCCCCTTACTCCTTTTCAGAAAAGCTGCAGAGGATTTTCGGAGGTCAAGGTCGGTAGCTCTATGTCTGCAATCACCGAAACAGCGCGCTTCCGGAGTCTGTGCTCCGGGTGCTACCGCTCAAAAAGTATATGCAACTATTCCACCTTTTTCCCTTGGTGGGAGTTCTGTGGCAAGGGAAATCGCAGAAGCGACCACAACGGAGGAGAACTAAAAGCCTTCCCGAGAAGCATCAGAAGACGCAGCTATGCAACGTTTTGCTAAGGAGTGGCGACGATCCCTCCGTCTGGAGTCCCTCCTAGTTGCACAGAACAGGCCAGACCTCCTGCCCGCTACGGGGCGTCCCGGAGCCGTTTTCTTCCCGCAGCGCTCGCCTCTTTGCGCGCATGCTCGGCCTGCACGGCTGGCTAGAAATTTTCCCGGTCGCGCTCGGAAGTCCGGTCGGCGTGCGCCGGCAGTATGGGAGCCAGGGTGACCCGCGTGCTTAGCAAGTTCAACCTGGAGAATCGGGCGCACCAGGAAATCGCCAAAGCCAAACCTACCCCTGCCCCACGCCACCCCACTACAGCCGTGCAGGACAGTAAGTGAACGGAGGGCAAACACCGTTAGGCGAGCAACCCGGCGGCGCAGGGCGATCCTGCAGCTGGGGCGGAGGCGGCTTCCCTCTCGCCGCCTTCCTTGCTCGTGTGCGGACGGAGGAAATTGAAGTAAAGGGGTGGGATGAATGAGAAAGAACGGCGGGTTTCATGAGGGATGGGTGCTGGAGCTGCCATCGTGGTGGAACACGGCTGCTTGGCTGAGCCGTGGTGCTTTCTGCAAGTCGCTGGACGTGCCGTGCAGCCCTTGCAGTAAATATTTACGAGGACGAGGGTGAGGAGTTCAAATCATTTCTGTTCACTTACCGCCCCGCCAGCGAAGTGACGGAGCTTTGCATGGGCCGCTGCGCCAGTGGTCCTGAACGTGACATTGAAACGTTGCCCCTGGTACCGGTAACATTTGGAGGTGACGTCCTTGCATTCCCTCGCTGCCGGAGTAACCTTTTGCTCATTTATGACCCGACGCATGCGTGGTCTGGTGGGATTTGCAGGTTGGGAACTGTAGTCAAGCATGTAAACTGAAGCAACTAAGGATTAAAAGCCTAGCCCCTGAAAAGGGGTCCTACGTTTCTGGACTAGTCATGCTTTCTGGAGGATGCCGGGAGTTGTAGTTTTTCTGCTTAAATACGGAAGGTGCTGGGATAGAGTACAAATGCAAAGATCATTCAGCACTTAAACTGTTTTAAGGTATTCGTTTATTAAGTATGTAATACATTAATTAAAACATATTTGGTAAATATAAATAATGGAAGAGCTGGAAGGTATCCATCTATTTGCAGGCCCTCACCTTTCCAGCTTAGCAAAGCTGCCTCAACATGCTAGCTTGATTTATAGCTATGCAGGCATACATAAAAGAAATAACTGCTTGGAGAAGCTGCTGCTTTTCTGTTCATCAAGTTGCTTCCTTTCACCTTTGCAAGGATTAGATCCAGATGTAGCTGTGTGTGGCACAACTGAAGGAAGCAGGCTTATGTGTTCCCTGCTGGCTAGAGAATGCTAGGAATTGTAAGACTTTTTCTGGCTAAACACACATAGGATTGCACTCTAAACATTTTACAGGTGCAAATAAAAATATGCATACTGCTTATTTAGCTAGGGTGTATGCTTTTTCACTTACTCTCAAAAAGCAGTATATTGCTGGAAGTGATGGACCAAGATGCTTCCCAGTGCAGCATAGTGGATTGACTGTAAAGCTCAGTCCACATTCTGACTCAGCTCACTGGATGAATTGGATGAATCACTATTTCTCAGCCTAACCATCCTAGATGGTTCCTAGGAGAATGAATTGGCAAGATGAAGTATGGCATCCTTGTTTCATTATTCAAGGTGGGATAATGTAATGAGTGGGAGGGGAAAGCCATTTTTCGAGGTGATGCAAGCTCTTTTCAGACATTCTACAATGTTGAAAGAATGCATGAAGAAGAGAGTGCTCCAGTCACAGCCCCTTCTATCTTTATATCTATTGCCCTATATACAGCTAGAGTGACTGTCTGAAGAAAAGTAGCTGCATGTCTATCTTCATGATTTTTTCAACACTGTATGTAGAACACCAGAAGAGGGTGCATTAATTTAATTCCATTATTTATTTATTTATTTTCCGATTTATATCCTGCCTTTTTCCTACAAAGGGCTCAAGGCAGCTTACACCATTCTCCTCCTCCATCTTATCCCCACAACAACAATCCTGTGAGGTAGGTTGGGCTGAGAGTCTGTGACTGGCCCAAAGCCACCCAGTTGGCTTCATGGCTGAGCGGAGACTCGAACCCAGATCGTCTGAGTCCCAGTCCCACGCTTTTAACCACTGCACCACACTCTTGGCCTAGAAGTAAAGTCCTTCTAGCCACATCTCCATGGTCCTCAAGGTAATGGACTAATTACTAGCTCACTGAGAATACTCCCTGGTACCTGCCATGTGGTTCTGACCCAACTTATATAAGAATGCAAGAAGAGCTGTGCTGATTCAAACAAAACACTTATTTAGTTCAATGTTCTGTTCCTGCAGTGGCTAACCAAGACAGACATTCAATAACATCTTCCCACTTGTGTTCTGCAGCAGCTAGTACTGCCTCTACCTTTGCTGGAACTGCAAATTACTGCCTGTGATGTAGGCAATAATTTGCAGCCTTTGCACTAGGAAAACCAATGCTTTAAGGAAGCATCCTGGTCCATCACTTCCAGGAATGTAATAAAGATTCAAAACAACAAGTAATGCAAAATGAAAGGTTTTATAGTCTCAGAAAACAAAATTATATGGAATAAAAACCTAAAAGGGATTAGATTGGTGCAGAAAATATAACCGTATTCAAAATAGAATTCTGCAATTCTGTGAGTTATGAAACTAGCAGTAACAGAACTCTGTCCCAAAGGAGGCTAAGTTTACTCCCTCTTTGCTGTCCTTCTGGCAGGCAAAGACTGCTTTATTGTAAAGGACCTTTAGAAAGTAAATAGACTTAAGGGTTGTATCCTTCTTTTAATAACATTTTCCTGTAATTATTATGCTTATTGTTTTAGTGTTTTAATAAATTTTCATTGATTCTGCAAGCCTCCTTTAATGCCATTCTTTTGGTAGAAAGTTGGCATATGAATGAATGAATAGCACCATCTATCCTCCCGAAATGTCGCGACATTAGCAGATATGGAAATGTTGTTACAAATGTTTGTGAAGTTGTATTATGGTAAATAAATGAGTTCTTTATGTGTATGAGCTGAACAAATGGTGATCACAAGAACTGTAATACATTTTTAAGGAATGGAGAAAATGGAACATAATTAGAGACTTATATTGTAAATCTCTTTCCTTAGATACTGGCAGATTCCAAGAAGAGATCAAGCAAAAAGATGAATATCTTCATACCTTATTAAAAGAAGTCTATGTTGATTCCAGAGACCCGACTATGCATGTGAGCTAGGCTTTCTTTCTGGAATACATGTGTCCTCAGACTAGGTCAGACTAGATGGCCCGAGAGGCCCCTTCTGACTCGCGCTGTTTCTGTTTCATTCATATATACACCAGCAATAAGAGTAGCATCATGTTTTGCCATGTAATATTACAACTTTTACTGTTTTATTTCAGGAATGCACAACCTATGGCCTGCTTTTAGGCTTCTAAGGCCTAAAGAAGGACCATGCTTGTACTTCCCAAAGTGACCATTAACACCCTGGACCATGGCCTTCTTGCTAATTCTAGCAAGGGTAATTATAGATAAAGTAGTGAAAAGCTGACCAGGAATCTTGGGAATACCTTAGTGTGTGAAGTGAGTTATAACATTTCCCTCTCAAGGGAAATTTGCCTGGTGCCATCTTTGCTTGGCGCTAAAAAGAAAATGAAGACATACCTTTTTAGACTTTTTTTTAATGCTTAACCCCTGAATGCTTTGGCCCTTTTTCATACAGTTGTTATAGAGGCTAGTGTTTTAATAGGTTTTAATGTGTTTTATTTATTTATTTATTTAAAACATTTCTATGCCGCCCCATTCGCAAAAAGCCTCGGGGCAGCCTACAAAACAAATGTTTTACTATGTTTTAATACATTTAATGTATTGTAAACAGCATAGAACGACCTGTGCAGTTACAGGCGGCCTATAAATATGTATATAAATAAATGTGTTGAACCAAGAGACAAGTGCACAACTATTTCCCCGACCTGGCACCCTCTGGATGTGTTGGACTATGACTCCCACGCCTTTGGCCTTGCTGGCGTAGATTGATGAGCACTGTAGTCAAATGCATCTGGAGGTGTCAGGCTGGGGGAGGTTGGTGTAGATTACAGTTCTAACACCTGAACATATGGATTTTTCCAGAGCTACTCACTGATCATAAAGATGACATGGCCTGTAATCTGGGATAGCTGGCAGAAGACTTCCTGTTATGTTATACAGTTTGCATAGCTTTTTCTCTTTCCAAGTCACTTGCAAGGAGTTTGTGAGTTCAACCCCTTGCTCATATAAAAGCCCTCTGGGCAGGAATGCACTGTCTTTCTGTATGCTGCTTTGTAAAGTCCCTTCTAAAACAGGCAATACTCAGCCTCATTTCAAAAGCCCTCTGCAATTTATCCGTTCAGCTCTCCCATGGAGGAAGGAATGGAGGAATAGCATTTTTCTTTGTCCCCTTCTTCCTTTCTTGGACTTATTCTTTACTTTGCAATTTTCTTCAATTTCTTGCTATGGAGAGGGAATTGTATTTCTCTCCATTCTGGATTTTGTAGATTTAAGTCTTTCCCCAATACACCTCTGCAGTGCCCATTTTTTGCTTGTATGAGCATTGGAGTGGCAAGAGTCACAGACATTTCTGTAGTGGCTGGGAAGGTGTTTGTGAGGATGACTCTTCACTTCCAAGGTTGAACCTCTTTCTTCAACCTCTTTCTTCTTCAGGGGATTCAGAACTTGGTAACTTCTGAGATACTCTCCCAAGAGCAATTGGATTGCAGCTTGAGGGTGTTTCCAGATGGAGGACTCCTTGCACTGTCAGTTAGAAGGCATTTTGGTGATATTGTTCATTAGTAGAATTTATAAAGTAGGAAAAACATTGGAGAACACAGATGGTTTACAAGAGGCAGACAATCTTGTCTGGAACCCTTGTAAAATTCCATGATGAGGCTGAGTGATTGTGCAAGAAAAGCTTCCTGTATAAACACTCTTTAAGTAACACACTTGTAAAGCAGAAATAGATTTAGAATATGTCCCAGTCTGTTAAAAGAAAAAAAAATCCTCAGTAATTTAAGGAGTAACAGAATATGCCACACTTATCGACTAAAAATCTAATCTTTTAATTTTTTTTAATCTATGTTTTAGGTAAACAAAGGAACAAAAAAGAAAGCTGAACACAGAATTTCAAAGATAGCAGGTTTGGGTCACTTGGATATTCAGACTGTTCCCAAAGGCAAGATCTCAATTGCTGAAGCCTTGTTTCTTCTCAGTAATCATCAGCGCTCTCCGCAGACATGGACTGAACAGAAAATAGCAGAGGAATATTCTTTAGAATTGAAGGATGTGGCCGATCTCTTAACATACTTCATTCCTTTTGCCATGGAAATCTTTCCTCCTGTAGACAAAAAAGCCGTAAAACCTAGGTAAAAAAGGATGGACATTCCAAGTGCTTTCTGTAAACTTCACATCTAATCCACCACCATGAAATGTGTCTAATTCAACTGGCATCTACATTTTATCATTTCCACATTCACAACCGATTGTGGGCATGCTGTTACGAAGCGGGCGACGGTTCTTGGCAAAATTTATGAAGGCTGCCTAAGTATTCTGAGAATATTGGCAAGGTGCAGCAAGATCTGTTCTGAAGTAATTATTTGTTTTGACCAACTCAAAAAATTGTATTTTTAGGGCTGCTTGTTTCAGCTACACAGACGCATATGTCCTAATAGCATTCTGTAAATAGTTTTAATTAAAGCAAAACAAGGTTGCACTATGTGTGTGTTTTCCTAAGAAATGTGGCCGGAGGGAATGCTATTTGGTTCCTAGAGGGGCAAAATAACAAATGGGGAAATGAGAGTTATGGGCATAGGCATTTTAAAAATGTTAATACAATGATGAATATTTGAAACAAATGGCAGTTGAGCTGAGTACAATTTTGCTTAATTGTAGCGGCATGCTGGATGTATCCCTGGCTAGTCAAGCCTTTGAGAATTGTTACTGTCCCCATTTCATTCATGCTTTATAATTATTGGTGTCATGCCCAAGAAGAACTGAACCTGAAACTGTTTTGTTTCTGTTTTGATTCTCTGAACTAAAATATATATTAATGCAGATTTAGCTGTTCTAGTTCAAGTTCTGTTGTCTTGCACTGTGTTTGGCTACAGCTTACAGGCAAACCATTCCTACTGATGGGGACAGAGGAAATCCAGAGGTGGAGGGACTGCTTGATCCTAAACCCTGCTGTTATTGTGCCAGCAGAGGAAAAGGGACTGAGCAGCATTCTGTCTCTTCCTGTCCAGCTCTGCTGTTTTTCTTATTTTATTTTTATACTTTGCCCTCAAATGTTGCTATGGGAGAAAAATGATATATGGTGGCTTCAGAACTGGCATCCATTTTCCCAAGTCCAAAGATATATTGAGAGAATTCCTCCACCTTACTGGAAGTCTTCCTTTTTGTCTCAGCTGACATGAGGGCTGCAAGAGCCAATGATGTTTCTGTGGTTGTGTTGTTGGGCCTCTCTACCATTAGACAGGGAAATCCAAAACATCTGAGGTCTCTGGGATGCTTTCCCAGGCAGCATAGGATTGTATCAAAAAGGGTTTTCTCACACACCATGAAACTCCCCCACTCGGGGGACATGTTTTTCCTTAGATGAGAAGAAGAGGGTCCCCAACTCCTTAATCAATTATGGGCAGGGAATCCTGAATAGTACAGTCTGACATGCATTCAGGTGTTAATAAAAATCTGTTGAAATTTCCTTTGTGCAAATGTGCCAATGATACACTTAGCTTCGTTTAGATTTGTCTTTAATCAAAACATCTAATCCATCTCTTTGTATTCTATGAGAAACTGTTAGACACAATCAGATACCATATTAACAGGAGAACAGACTCGTACTCTGGTCTAGTTTAAAAACTGTTACTGGTAAAAAAGCAAGCTCTTAAAGCTGTCTTTCCTTAGATTTGAATTAATCTGATTATACTGGGGATGCTAGAAGATGGAATGAGCCCTCCTGTAGCTCTCTGAGTGATTTCAAGGTAATTAAGTGTTTCTGCGTCATAATTGTTCAGTAACAGTATGACATTTTTCATCTAGATTAGGTTGCTGAAATGAAAGCTCATGGTAGGTAAGACAAGTCTTTTATATGAAAGGACTGTGAGCTTCTGGTACTAAGAAGGAATTTCTGGGTTAAAAATGTGCTAAAAGGCACCCTGTTCTTTTAATTGTGTGTGCATTCTGGTTGTTGTTGGATCTCACACTTTTAGTAGGAAAAAAAACTGCACTCCAATATAGACGTTCTAAATTTTGAATGGAAAAAAACCCTAGTATGACCAACATTGACTTTCTCGGTAATAAGACATTGGCCATTAAACCAGGAAATATTTATGTAGGCCTGAGGGCTTCTATTTGATTTAAAAAGTAGTGTTGCTGTTTGTTGTGTTGAAAAGCATGCCCAAAGCCCTGCTAATGCTGTAGAGCTAATTGTACATTTGTTTGTTTTTTTAACCACAGGAGTGGAATGTGGCTATTGGAGAATAAGCTATCTTTATAAAGTCACCTCTTCCAAATCATTTATTTGGTCATTTAGTAAAGATGTATCAATGCTCAGCACATTTATTTTTTCCCTTTCCTTATTTATTCCATAGAGCTAAAAAAAGTGATTATATTGCACACACATTAGTCACACAACTGATTATGTGTAAGAGAATCTTTGAGTAGCACATCTCTTTCCTAGCTGAAGTATCCCAGGTCTAAATGTATACCTGGAACTCAAACTTGATTCTGTTAGTATTAATAGACTGCAGTGGGTTTTATAGGTGTCTGCATGTGTGACAGTATTAGTCTGTTGTGCTTTTTCTACAAAGTTTTATGGCACCTGCTAGACAAAGATTTATTATTTCATATGGTTTTCTAAACTCATTCACTTCATCAGCATTATCTTACGTTGGCAAGTTATATGCACATAAAGATTCAACAGAAAAGGCAAGGGCAAGACAAAGAAAAAACAACCCTTATAGATGATGTAGTTAAAACCACGAAACTGATTATTCTACAGCTGCATTGATGAGAAAAGGAACATCCTGGAATTAGTAAGCCATAATCAGCATAGAGTAATAGATATTTTGGTTCAGACCAGAGATAATAGAATTGCACTTTCCACTAAGCCTAATGTCATGCATCAGACTGAGTGGACTCTAGTCTTAAAATGGACTTTGCATTTTCCAATTTTAAAAGCTCATGGGAGTCTGTTGATAATGACATAAAGACTCAAGGGATGTGCCTCACCTTTACTGGGAGGCATACTGGACAAATCCTCTGTGAAGCCATCCTTAGTTCAGGTGCATGAGTAGGCCACTTCCTGTTCCTCAGCTTTGCGTGCCAACATAGCTTTTCCATTTTTTTTTAGTAAATACTTTTTGTGAGTAGCACACAACAAATGAGTTAGTTTTGATCCATTCAAGTGCCATCTCTAGCAGGTGCTGTTGCTGACCTCTGTGCTACCTGCTGCATCAACCATGGAAAGCGTGGTTCTTGATGTCTATAATTCCAGTTATATAATGGCGGTTCCTTACTAAAATCGTATGGGAAAGGACCTGAGGAGGATGCAGCAAGATGGGGGTGACCTTCCTCAGCTGGTGCCTTTCAGTTGTTTGGACTTTAACAGCCCTCTGCTCCAGCCAATATGACCAACGGTCATGTCTTCTGGGAGTTGTAGTCCAAAATAGCTGAAGGACATCATGTTAGGGAAAGCTGTACTGGGGGAAGGAAGCATGGGATAAATCCTGTGTAACTACATGACCATTGGAAATGTGAATCCAGACACAGCAACACAAAATAATTGGGTGTTGCAGTCATTAAGTGATAGGCATGTGTGAACTGGACTCAAGAAGTCAGAAAAACAATTCAGCGTTCTGAGATGCTCCATACAGAGCAATTGCAGTGATGAAAAGCTTCAGAACTTTATTTTTAGTCACCTGAATTGCAGGTACAGATGTTCTTTTCAGGCCTTACTCGTGTGTGAAAGGTTGACTCCAGTACTTCCATCCACAGGTTGGGGGTGCTGGTTTATATAGGTCTTTCACACATCACTTGGCTACACCATGGCTTCTTCTCACAGGTCCTGTGCCTTCTTAGATGTACTTCATGGCATTAGAAAGACCCAGGGACTGCTGCAAGTCCAGTGTTCCCAAAGTTGTATCTGAAAGACCTGCACGGTGGCTGCCTTCATGAGCGTATACTGGGCAACTGGATTCTTACTGAAATATTTGTGACCATCTCTGTTTGCCGCAGCTTGTTTTTAAATCCCAAGCAGTGAGCATAAGGGTATGTGGAAAGCATTCAGCACCTTACAGATTTCAATCTAAAATTGCAGCTCCCAAAGAGACCAGTAGCTCTTAGGTGAAACAGAAAAATAGAAATTTGCAAAGCTAAACATTGTGTGAATAAATCAGCCCTGTTCACTTTTCTGGTGGAGAAGAAAGCAAATCCTTACGCTGCTGTGAGCTGCAAATTGTATACACAATAGTTGGGCGCCTTCCCTGTGAACTACTTCTATAACTGGAAGTGTGAGCAAGGCAGCAGCAGCAGGTTTTCTGAGGTGGGTCTGCTGCTAGGGCTGCAATCTTGAGGGTGCAATCTAATTTATTTATTTATTTATTATTAAAACATTTCTATGCCGCCCCGAGGCTTCAGCAAGGGGCGGCATAGAAATGTTTTAATAAAAAAAAAAAAAAAAATAAATAACATTTTAAAATATATACATTAAAATAAAATACAAATATACAATATAAAATAAGCCGCCCTGGCCAAATAAAATTCAATAATATTAACATTTAAAATGCTGCTTAAATAAAAAGGTCTTCGCCTGGCGCCGAAAAACAAATAACGACGGCGCCAGGCGGACCTCTCTGGGGAGCGCATTCCATAACTTAGACGCCACTGCTGAGAAAGCCCTCCTCCGAGTAACCACCCTCCTAATTTCCTTCACTGAGGGCTCCCGGAGGAGGGCCTCTCCCGCTGATCTCAGGGGGCGGCTGGGCATATATGGACGTAAGCGCTCCTTCAGGTAACCAGGACCCAAGCCGTTTAGGGCTTTATAGGTCATCACCAACACCTTGAATTGGGCCCGGACTTCAATGGGAAGCCAGTGAAGCTGCCGGAGAACTGGAGTCATGTGAACATAACGTCCAGTTCCCGTCAGCAGCCTGGCAGCTCTATTTTGAACCAATTGAAGTATCTGGACCGTCTTCAAGGGTAGCCCCACGTAGAGCGCATTACAGAAGTCAAGACGGGAAGTCACCAGTGCATGAGTCACTGTTGCGAGGCAGTCGTACTCCAGATAGGGGCGCAGCTGATGAATCAGCCGAAGCTGGAGGAAAGCGCTCCTCGCCGCTGCTGTTACCTGAGCTTCGAGTGAAAGCTCCGGGTCGAGGAGCACTCCCAAGCTGCGGACCTTATCCCTAGGAGGGAGTGCAACCCCGTTCAGGACAAGGTTCAATTCACCTTCTCCGAAGCCTGAACCGCCTACCAACAGGACCTCCGTCTTGTCTGGATTGAGCTTCAGTTTATTGGCCCTCATCCAGCCCATTACCTCGGCCAGGCACCGGTTCAGTACAGCCACTGCCTCACCTGGATTGGTGGAAAATGAGAGGTAGAGCTGGGTATCGTCAGCGTACTGGTGATTCCGCAGCCCACACCTCCTGATGACCTCTGCCAAGGGGGACAAAATGGACAAAAGGGGGACAAACAGCAAGGGGGACAAAATGGACCCCTGCGGTACTCCATGGCATAGCTGCCATGGCGCAGAGCCATAGTCCCCCAGCACCACCTTCTGGAATCGGCCATTGAGATAGGAGCGGAACCACTGCAAAGCAGTGCCTTCGACCCCCAATCCCGCAAGCCTATCCAGAAGGATACCATGGTCGATGGTATCGAAAGCCGCCGAGAGGTCCAGGAGAACCAACAGGGACGCACTCCCCCTGTCCTTCTCCCTGCACAGGTCATCGTACAGGGCGACCAAGGCAGATTCGGTACCGTACCCGGGTCTGAAGCCGGACTGAAATGGGTCCAGATAATCAGTTTCATCCAAGAGTGCTTGGAGTTGTCCCGCCACCACTCGCTCTAACACCTTGCCCAGAAACGGGATGTTGGCCACTGGTCTATAATTAGTGGCCATCTCTGGTTCCAGTGACGCCTTCTTCAGGACCGGTTGGACTACCGCCTCCTTTAAAGGGGCAGGCACCCAACCCTCCCTTAGAGAAGCGTTAACCACTTCCAAGATCCAGGTTCAAATCCCATGCTTGGAATCCTTTATTAATCAAGACGGGTAAGGATCCAAAAGGCAAGTGGTGGGACGTACTCGTCCAAGCACCTTGTCCACATCATCGGGCCGCAGTAACTGAAATTCATCCAATAATTCTGGACCAGACGGTAGCATCGGTGTCTCCCTTAAGACCTCTGACTCAATAGTGGAATCCAGCTCGCGACGAATCTGAGCGATTTTCTCCCTGAAATGCCTGGCAAAGTCGTCACAGCGGGCCTTTGAGGGTGGAATCAGATCTTCTTTCGGACCTGGACGGACCAGGGCTTGCACCACTCGAAAGAGCTCCGCCGGACGGCATTGTGAGGAGGCAACGGAAGCGGAAAAAAATCTCTTTTTTGCCGCCCTCACTGCCACAGCATAGGCCCGATAGTGGGCTCTTAAGTGTGTTCGGTCAGATTCATCCCGTGATTTCCTCCACCTACGCTCTAGCCGTCTCCCAACCTGCTTCATCGCCCTCAGTTCAGGAGTATACCAAGGGGAAGAGCGGGCTCTGCCCGGTGGGAGAGGGCGCTTAGGAGTGATCGTGTCTACAGCCCTGGTCATCTCCCCGTTCCACAGTTCGACCAGAGCCTCGACAGGAGCACCCGTCTTGTCAGCCAGAAACTCCCCCAGAGCCTTCAGGAATCCTTCCGGATCCATCCGGCTCCGGGGGCGGACCCACACAATTGGGTCCGCACCCTTACAGAGGGTGAGGTCACTCTCGAGCACAAACCTCACCAGGAAGTGATCTGACCATGACAGGGGAGTCAAGCATAAATTCGTCACCCTCAGACCACCCTCTTCCTGCCCCGTCGAGAAAACCAGGTCCAGAGTGTGTCCACGTTCATGGGTCGGGCCGGTGACATGTTGAGACAGCCCCATGGCCGTCATGGAGGCCATGAAGTCCTGAGCTGCCCCGGTCAGACTAGCCTCGGCATGGAGATTGAAGTCCCCCAGGACCAACATCCTGGGGGTCCCCAACACCAGGTCTGAGACCGTCTCCGTCAGCTCAGGTAGGGAGACTGTTGGGCAGAAGGGTGCACAGTACACCAACAGAATCCCCAATCTGTCTTGGTTGCCCAACACCAAGTAGAGACATTCCAGCCCTGGTCTCGAAGGGACAGGAAGTCCTGTGAGGGAGATGGAGGCTCGGTAAACTAAAGTAACCCCCCCCCTCCCCTCCGGCTGTGAACGGTGCTGGACCAGATACCCGGGCGGGCACATTTGAGAGAGGGCGACATCCCCCCCCCTCCCGCCCAGGTCTCCGTTATGCAGGCCAGGTTGGCCCCCTCATCCACAATCAAGTCAT